GCGGCCAACGATCCACAGACCCCATCGGTGCCGGCGACCGCGAACGGCCCCCGGGCTTCGGACATCCCAGCAGCAACGGGCACCCCCGGGCGTGTTTAAGCCGGTGCACCCCTGGACTCAGGAGAAACACCGGCGGCGCAGAGGAAGACCACGGGCTGGGATGGGCGGGCGCCCCCGTTCCTGAAGCGAGGCCCTACTGAAAGGGCCTAGGCGCTACCAGTCACAGAAAGACAGCCTACCTGACATGGAAGAAATGCGATCAGGCTTCTGCCAGCTGTGAGCTGACTTCTGCCTTCCACATAGTACCACCGGCTACCTTTGGCCCATTGACACGCGTGCAAACGTTCCGTGGGCAGAAAGTGAATCTGGGGGGGGTGGTTTACTATGGGGTGGTCCGTGCGTCATGCCGTTTTCCCATACAAAGTGGGCCACCCAGGTTCGCCCCCTACCCGGGCCATAGCTGGACTTAGCGAAATTCGCGATCGTTCCGCCCACCACCTCGACCACCCAACCCACACCACCCCATCCGCCATCCTCTGCTCGATCCTACCTGCCCCCCCTGCGCGTTCCGACCAACCTCCCTGCTTGATACTAACCTGCCCGCCCACGCTGGTCGGTCGACGGCGCCGTCCCGCCGGGAGAGAGGGGGTCCCCAGGCGAAAATCTATATGGTGGCATCCCGGTGGTCGTGGGCGGACATATATATATATGGAGGGTGGTGCACACACTTGGTCTGCACGGAGATCTACTGTCGTCCCGCCCTTCCCTGCACCGCGTCGCCCCCCCCCCTGGCCCCGAGCCCAGGCGCGCGTGGGCCACCCACGCCCCTACGCATCCCCACCGCAGTACAGGGACCACCCCCCGTGCCCCCTCCCCGTTCGGGACCGGGTCACGTGACCACAGCACGGCATCAAAAAAAAAGAGGAACAGATCATGCCGACCTGCTCCTCCTCCCTTCCGTCCCCTGGGCTGCTCCTTCCACCCCGCGCCCCAGCGCTCTCCCCTGCCCCCGCCCCGCCGCTACACCCCGGAGGGCCCGTTCCTCCCCGCGGGACCTCGCATCTTTCATGTTTCCCGGCTAACTGGTGAATCCACTTCGTCAGTATGTGCCCGTGGCCGGCGCTGCGGGCTGGCGCTCCCCCCCGGTAGGTCCCGGAGGGCCACGGGGCGCCTGCGTGCCCCCGCGGTGAGCGCCAGTCCCCCGGCCACCCCTGCCCTAGGGGTCGTCCGGCCACCTTCGGCCCATCGACACGCGTGCAAACGTTCCATGGGCAGAAAGTGAATCTGGGGGGGGTGGTTTACTATGGGGTGATCCGTGCGTCGGTCCCTTTTGCCATACAAAGTGGGCCACCCAGGTTCGCCCCTACCCGGGCCATAGCTGGACTTGGCGAGATTCGCGATCGTTCCGCCCGCCCCTCAGGCGCAAAGTACCGTGTCCAACTGGCCAGTCTCACTCGACGTGGGACTGCCGTACCCACGTGGGCCACCCGGCCTCGCCCCCTACCCGGGCCTGGCAAAGTACCGCGTCCAACTGGCCAATCCCACTGGACGTGGGAAGGCAGGAGCGACCCGGGTAAGAACCCGGGTCCCATCCCAAGGCCCCCTCCAACCGCCCGGCGCTGCCGGGCTCGTCAGTGGGGGTGGTGTGTAAACACAACAAATCTAGCCAAGGATCGGGCTGACGCTCAGCGACTCGTAGCAACAAGGCTACTTGACCGCTTACACGACCCGCTTGGTCACTTCAGTCGTATGCAGAGGATTCATCCCCGCGCGAGGTGACATTGCAATTCGCCAGCCAGCCCCCAGGGGTTTCTCCCGGGGGGCCGTCGCCAGCCTGCTGAGGTGCATGGCCCGAAGGCCTATTCGTATCCAACTACGACGTGCGGGGCAACATCGCCGCGTTCCGGCACGGATTCTGACTTAGAGGCGTTCAGCCATTATCCGGCAGATGGTAGCGTCGCGGCACTGCCTGGTCAGACAGCCGCAAAAACCAATTATCTGAATCAACGGTTCCTCTCGTACTAAATTGAATTACCGTTGCGGCGACCTTCATCAGTAGGGTAAACTAACCTGTCTCACGACGGTCTAAACCCAGCTCACGTTCCCTATTAGTGGGTGAACAATCCAACGCTTACCGAATTCTGCTTCGGTATGATAGGAAGAGCCGACATCGAAGGATCAAAAAGCAACGTCGCTATGAACGCTTGGCTGCACAAGCCAGTTATCCCTGT